TTTTCATTCCTGAGGGCTTACTTTACATCACTCTTTGGCTGGAACCTGAAGACAGAGCCAGGAGGAGCTTGCAGTATGATGAAGGAGGCAATGGTGCCTACAGGCTGTCATGGGGGAGTTAGAGCCAGGGCTGAGTGCAGGACCCAGGAGCAGAGCCACTGCCCCTCAGTGTGAGGACCTGAGGGAGCCTTGTTTGGAGGTGATGACATTTGGGCTGGGCCTTGAAGGAGGTAACAAGTGGGGCAAACTGAGGCTTTACAGTGAAACAGCTCTACCAGGGTCTTTTGGGTAGGAGGCATCTGTGTGAGCTGAGGTGCAAAGACCTAAACAGGGAGAGGAGGTCTGAGCATAGGAGCAGTAGACAAGAGGCCGGGGCTGGAAGGCAGAGCTGCCGAGTGCACTATGGGAAGCGGACTCAAGCTGAGGGCCATGGAGAGCAGAGAGAGGAGGCTGACTGGAGTGGGATCCTCGGTGTGCAAATGAGTCCGGAGGATTCTGCAGGGATCAAGGAGACACTGGGGGACAAGACAAGTGCGATGCAGGGACAGAAGTTCTGCCAGTAAACTGAGGCCCAAGGAAGCCAAAAGCTGTGCTTTGCCCTCAAGAAGAATCCAGGGAGGCCAGAAGATGACAGGGCTGCAGACTTACCTAAGGGGCAGGAGGGGAGGGAAGGAGGATCTGGAGGAGGAGGATCTGGAGTCCAACTAGGGGCAAACCTGTGCCAGATCTGTGATGCTCAAATTCACCCTCTCAGGCACCTGGATCTGGCCTGGCACACTCTGCCCAGGTAGGGAGAGGGCATGACCTGGCTACCCAAACTGCATGCCAGGCAGAAGCGCCTGAGGCCAGCGAACCCTGGCGCATGGGGTGAGAACCAGCCTATGCCAAGGCCTCTCTCTGCTGCTGCCTGCTACTTCCTATCTCCAGCACCAGCTGGGCCTGCGGACTGGGAGGAAGCTTCCTTTCCAGCTGGGTTTCTGCTGCGGCTGGGCGTCCTGGCGCCTGGCTGAAGCTGCCGATAGCTAGTGTAGGGGCTGGGGGCCGAGGCCTAGAGCTGCTTAGGGGCCCTCTTTCCGCCATTGACTGCCAGGTCCCTGGGACTTCTGTAAATATTATTCCTAGGAGATTTGGGTGCAGCCTCACTGCTTACTGCCCGCCGCCTCCACATCCTGGAGCACTTGGTGTTCCCTGGATGTGCCAGTCCCCTAGTCATGCTCTGCCTGGAGCCCTGAGCCTCAACTCTTGGGCTAGAGGACATTTCCTTGCCAAAATTCTTGGAAAGTTTCTGGAGTCAGGCGGTCCTGGATGGGTGTCATTTGCAGGAACATGGATGAGCTGCGTGGCTTTCAGATCTTGTGTCTCGGACAGTGTGGGTGGGCTGATCCTGCCTGCCTTGGGGCCTCAAGCAGAGGGTGAGAGCAAGCTATATAGGTCTCTGCTGGAGGGCAGTGTAATCACAAGGGATAGATTGGCCCCTCTAGAATGGAGAAAAGGGACAGGAGGGTAGCTGCAAGGCCTCCTTGGAGCCACATGCTCCATCCCCTCAGTGGGGTATCCCTGTACAAGAAAGGCCCTGAGAGCGAGGGACTCGCCCGAGGATACAGTCAGTGATGGCAGCCCCTGTCTGATTCATCTTCCTTGCATACATGCTCAGGGCCTGGCCTGTGCCAGGTGTGGGCCACTCAAGATGAGTTAGATCCAGGGCCGGCACCTCCCATTTTCTTTCTCTATGGTTCATTATACTGTCAGGGATGACAGGTGGTCTCAGTTCAGGGTTCTCCACTGAGCACAGAGCTGGGCTTCTGTGAAGCATGCAGGCTTCAGGTTAGACTAGTGGAAGGGCTTCTTGTACAAATAGATCCCAGGGATCTGGCTGTGGCACCAGAGGTGATCCCAGGGGTCCTGATTTCATTCATTCAGCATTTTTAAGGTCACTGTGAATCTGCATCTCCAGTGACAGGTTTGTGGATCAAAGTCACTCTCCTTTCTCATCTTTTCCCTAAATCCAGTCCTGAGCACTTCTAGGAGGAAGAGAAGGGGATTTAAGATTTAGTGTTACAGGGGCCGGGGAGATGGCTCAGTAGAATAAGCGCTTGCCTGGCAAGCGCAAGGGTCTGAGTTCAATCCCCAGTTCCGCCAAAAAAAAAAAAAAAAAAAAAAAAAAGATTTAGTGTTACAGCTTCCAGACACTGGTGCTGGGACAAGGCTGCTCCTTTCTCTGGGCCTCAGGGTCCTCATTGTGCAGCGGGACGCCCAGGCGCCCACCTGTCCTCAGGAGAGCTGGCAGGATAAGTGGGTAGTGGGGCCATGAGGCTGCATCTTGCTTGGTTCCAGCTCTGGCTTCTCTAGCCTGCCTGAAACCTGACCAGCCATGGTCACGCAACACCCAGTCTCCACCCACCTGACACTCTGGGGCTCTGGTGGCAGCTGTTGTCTCTGCCAAGGAGGACTTTTCCTGCCCTGGGGCAGTTGGTGTTTATGGAAAAAGGAGGGTGGCAGTGGTAATGGTGGTGGTGATGGTGATGGTGGTGGTGGTAGGAGAGCTGGCAGAGACTCCAGGGACAGGGCCTTTCTTTGCTGGGTGAGTGTGGCATGGACAGCCAGGCGGCCTCTAGTCCCGGACTCCTCCATCAGCTGGAGCAGAACCAGGGAGCATGCAGTGAAGAAGAAGCCGTCTCCGGCCAGCCAGGTGGGGGAGTGGTCAGTCTTCTCCCGTCATTCTGGTAATTCCACAGAAGTGTGCTCAGCCCTGGCTACCATGGGGCCTCTGTGACTGTCTGGGCCTCCCTAGGAACCGGGCCGATCCCAGACTGTGTAGGGAGGAGGATGTTGAGCAGCAGGCGCCCTTCTTTTGGACGCTTGCTGCGGAGGTAGACTAGGAGGAGGGGGCGTGGCAGGGGCTGGAATGGGAGGTCCTGGAGGGCGGGGCCAGGTGGGTGGGGAGCAGCAAAGCCTGGGAAAGATGGAGAAGCCCTTGGTCTTTGGGGTCGAGCTTCAGGGACCCCCTGAGGTCCCTGCTGCTGTAGACATGGGGAACTGGAGCTCAGAGGCCTGGGTCATCTCTGGGCTTGAAGAGGGACAGCAGCTAAGTCGTGGGGAGCTCCAGAGACTGCTGGTAGGTGAATCTCAGATGATCAGTGAGGAGGGTCCCAGCAGGGGGAGGGGCAGCCCCTGAGCCAGCAGGCAGGGCTGGCAAGTGCCGATCCGTTGGCCTCTCTGGGCTTGCGGCTCTGGCAGGGGAAGGCCGAGGTCCTGCCAGGCCCCTTCCTTGGGTCCTGCTTGCCAGGTCTGCCTGCAGCAGCCCGATAAGGCTTTTTTCTCCATTGTTCTTTCCTGGCCCCTCCTCCTGCTGCGGCCACATGGATGTCATTGTCCGGCTGGGGGAGATGCAAAAGCCCTTAACCAGGGCTTAAGCAAAATCGATTTGCATGATTTTGCGCACATTTTTTTTTTTCTGTGTGGGTGGAAGCCTTCTCTTGGGGGGAGCAGGGCACAGCTGCTGGGTCCAGGCCCCCAGCTGTGCAGTGGGAGTGCTGAGACCAGAGGGACCAGGCCTTCCTCAGAATCGAGACTTCTGAGACCTCTGAGCGACTGAACACTTCACCCCACGCAGCTCCCACCTTTCCCTACCCTCCTGGCCCCCGGTAATCAGTTACACAGAGAGTTGGCCCTGAGCCCAGAGCAGGAAGTATGTTTGCAGGCCGAATTCTGGCATTGGTGGTGGAAACCTCCTGCTGGGAGCCAGGAGTTCTGGGCCTGCCTGGCCCTGTTCTGTGTTCTTGGCCAAATGTCGACTTCACCAAGAGCCTCAGTTTCCCTTGCTGAACGGGGAGGTGAGCTCTTCCTGGTGTGGGGTGGGAGGGAGACTGCAAGAGCCTAAGTAGTAACTGCTGCTGAAGAGACCTTAGTGCAGTGCACATTGATTGAGGGTGGTCAGCGGGATCTGGGTTAGACACAAGGAAGGACTTCCTTAGGGGGTTTCCCCGAAAGGCAGAGGGTGGGTGCAGGACTTCAGTTACTGTCTCAGGAGATTTCCCAGCCCCGTCTCTCCTGTTCCTTTGGTTCATGACCTTCCTTAGCATCCTGGAGCCTAGACTCCACTGCAACTTGGGCTGATTCTGGCTCTCTCAGGAATAGAGGCCAATGTTCCTGAGGCCTTGCAAGTCCCCTCTCTCCATAGCCCTTGCTCTGGACCCAAGGTTCTGGAAAACTTCCTTTCTTGGTTGTTAAGCCTGTTTGGGTGGTGGGAAAGGGAAGGATGACCATTGGGCTGGTATGAGGATTTTCTGGTGACCTATCTGGCATTCCCTTTTTCCTGGCCTCAGTTTTTCTACCTGCAAAGTGGGCATTCTGATACCTGCTCTTCCTTTCCTCCTGTGAAAATGGAGAGGTAGTGGCAGAACTCATTTTTCCTAATTTCCAGGTGCTCAGAACTTGGGGACCAGTCTGGGAGAAACCCCATCCCCATCTTTGTGCCCTTCCTGAGCCCTGGAAACCCTTGACCTCGACCCTCGCTGCTGGGCTCCGAGTAGGCAGGAAGTGAACCCTCCAGAAGCCTGTGGCTGCTGTATCTTAACAGCTGCTTCCTAGCCTTGGTGTTACAGTGCAGGGTCTAGACTTTTCCTTTGTCTTCACTTGGTGGCAGCAGAATAGGAAGGTGGACTTCCCCTGGGGGCCCAGGGTGGACTAGGAAGAGGTCCAGGGAGAGATCTAGAGCAGAGCTTAGAGATAGCAGGGTGGGGGCTTCATGTTCAGGGCTTGGGAATGGGCAGAGGGTAGCCTTGGGGGACATCCGGTGATTTAAGTAGAGCTGTCACTCGAATCCCCACCTCTGGTGCCTTCCTCCCCTTCAGGGCTGATGGGTAGGAACCCCTTCCCACAGTCTCTGATGCCTGTTTCTCATCCACAGTGAACCCCTGCTGCTACTTTCCGTGTCAGAACCAGGGCATCTGTGTCCGCTTTGGCCTTGACCGTTACCAGTGTGACTGCACCCGCACGGGCTACACCGGCCCCAACTGCACCGTCCGTGAGCCAGGATTCCACCCCCCACCCCCCATGCTCCCCTGGATCTTCCTCCCAGGCCCCACTTCTGGCCTTTGTCCCTGGCCATGGCTCCCTGCTCCCTCAGGGCCCTGAGCCTTCCCTCCCCCACCTGGCTCCCCGGGAACACTTGCTCCTGGGCCACCCGCACCCCTTGGCTCTGGGCTCTGTGGGAATGAATTCACCACACTCCCTGGCCCCTGTCCTCAGTTCTGGCCTGGCTCTGTCATGTGCCACTAATTTCAAGGCCTCCAGGTACCTCGATGCTCCTACTTGTCCTGCATCCTCAGTTCCCTCTTCTTTGGCTACTTGGGTCCTGCTGGGAGGACCCATCTGAGTGGCTCCCACTGCCCCTGCAGCTGAGCTCTGGACCTGGCTCCGGCATTCCTTGCGGCCCAGCCCTGCTTTCATTCACTTCCTGCTCACACATGGACGTTGGTTTTGGGAGTTTGTCAATTCCACCTTCATCCGGGACATGCTTATGCGCCTGGTACTGACAGGTGGGTGTGGTCCTGGGTCACTCTTATTTGGGGAACCAGAAGTCTGGCCTGTTCTTGGCATTCTTGGTGTCAGACAAAGACACAGGATGGAGAGCCTTTGAGACACCAGATGAAACGAGTCCCAGCCCAGGATGGGGCAGGGAAGGGGGTAGCTCTGGGGAGGGGACAGCCTTGTCACCATCATTTTTGCTCTCTACAGTGCGGTCCAACCTCATCCCCAGCCCCCCCACCTACAATTTAGCACATGACTACATCAGCTGGGAGTCTTTTTCCAATGTCAGCTATTACACTCGAATTCTGCCCTCTGTGCCCAAAGACTGCCCCAAACCCATGGGCACCAAAGGTAAGGGGGACAGGGAAGGAGCTGGGCCACAGTAGGTGCTCAGATCTCTTTTGGGGAAAAAGCAGGCAGAAGAGCATTCAGTGAGCCATTTTACAGATGGGTGGACTAAGGCCAGATAGTTGACATGATCAGAATCACGGATAAGGATGGGAAAGGGCAGAAAAAGTCTCACCTGAAGTCACCCAGAAAGAGGCAGAGATTAACTAATATTTTCATATTTCCAGGGTACCTTTGTACTGGTGAGGGGGTTCTGCTGGGGTGAAAAGGACTTCCAGGTTGAAATGTAGGAAGGAAGCAACAATGTGCTGTGTGTTAGGTCCTGACTTTATGTTTGGTTCTTTGGTAATGTAAACAGCTGTTGCCAGGATAGGGCACAAGGAGGGTTTGCTTCAGCTGCCCAAGACCCAGTTGAACTCATTGGTAGAGGTCTTTCTCCTGAGCCCTCCTTCCCACTCCACCTCGAACTTTCCAGAAACTTGGGGGTTACACAGCTCAGAGCTATCAGTTCAGCTTTAAGGACAGCAGATGACAAGAGAGGCCCAACAATCTACCACTGCTGTAACTTCAGCTCTCGATACACGGTATCGCTGTTGAACACCAGCGCTTCGCAGTCCTGCGCTTGCCCTGTTGCAGGTTTTGAGGCTTGTGCACGCTGTGTAGATTGCTGTCCTTGCTTGGGTCTGCAGGGCACTGCTCTGCTGGCTTTCACTGAGGTGGTTTGCTGCTATTCCCAGAGCACGACCAACTCTTCCAGGACAGCTGAGTCTCATCAACACTGCTGGCATCGATTCTTGCCTGATGTCAATGAGTGGCGATTCCAAAATGTGAGCTATACACTGCTCCTTTTTATTTTAATTTCTATGAGTGCCTTTTAGGGTGCTTCATATTGCCTCCTGCCAGAGAAATGCGGTTGGCCATCTCAATGCAGAGTTGCCATTAATTTTGAACCTTTAGCATTGGGCCTTCCCTGAGGTATGGTGAAAGGATGCCTCATCAGAACACAATAAAATCTCATTGTGCCTTTCTGTTAAGGGCTTGGGTGCCAGGTCACCTGATTTTGACATAATTAGGGAAGACCTCTCAATATTTATTCTCATAATGACTGACACCTGTCATAACTTACTATCTTTAACCTAGAAACGTGTAATCAGGACCATAGGGTCTGCAAAACCTGCAACATTTCCTACCTGGATTTTTATAAAGCTCAATGACTCTTGGTTGAAACAGATTGGACCTCACCAGTTCTCTGCAATGCTTATATAATTTCATATAATTATCAAACCCACTGTATAAAATAAGTATCATCATTAGCCTATTTTACAACATGAAGAAATTGAGCCTCAGAGAGATCAAATGATTTGTCCCTTTTTATAAAACTAGCCAAAGACATGGCCATTTGCAAACACAGCCTACCTTGCCTCAGGCCATGGAGTCCAAGATTTTTTTTTAAAAATATGTTGATGTTTTTTACTATGCAAAATTTGCAAATAGGCACAAATTTGAGGAGAAAATATAAGGAGCTATGGACCCATCTCCCAGTTTAAACATTTATCCACAAGTTGCCAATCTTATTTCACTTTAAACTTTAATTTAAAGCAAATTCCAAATATTATGCCATTACACTGATAAATAGTTTTTGGTCTTTTGGTAGCGAGGGTACAGGGCTACCTGTGGCGGGCCAGAGAGTGCTCTGGACCTCCATTCTGGGCTGACTTGTCTAATTAGCCTGGCAGTCTCCAGGGCAAGAAGGTCCAGCTTGGACCCAGGCAACCACTGCTTTTTCCTACCTACCCGACCAGGAAAGAAGCAGCTTCCAGACGCCCAGCTCCTGGGTCAGCGCTTCCTACTCAGGAGGAAATTCATCCCTGACCCCCAAGGCACGAACCTCATGTTTGCCTTCTTTGCACAACACTTCACCCACCAGTTCTTTAAGACTTCTGGCAAGATGGGGCCTGGCTTCACCAAGGCCTTGGGCCATGGGGTAAGTCCTGGAGAAGGAAGGACTCAGGACTGCTGTGGACCTAATGTGGGGATGATCCAGATCTTCACTGACTGGGAAGGACCCAGGCAAGCTGAGTGGACCTCTCTGTCCCCAGGTAGACCTTGGCCACATTTATGGAGATAATCTAGAGCGCCAGTATCACCTGCGGCTTTTTAAGGATGGGAAACTCAAGTATCAGGTAGTGCTGGACGTGGGGGTGGGCTGTGGGAAGGGGTTTCCATGGTTTCCCTGGCAAAGATTGCTGGAAGGGGGCTGGAGCATGTCCTGCAAGGGCCAGCTGTAGGGACTGCAGTTGTGGGTTGGCAGGAGAGATAATAAACCCAAATGATGTGTAGACATGGCCTCCTGTGTCCTCTGGGAAGGGACATTTGGAGCTCAATGGGAAACAGCAATTTGTTGCCTGCATTTGTTCACTTTATTCCACAATACTAATTGGATGCCATGCTATGCCTTCAGCAAGCGACTGAACAGTGATCTTGTAGTTATGAGCTCTGCCCTCAACAACCCAGAGTATTAGAGGTCACAAATATAAATACTGGGAGTTCATAGGGACTTGTTGTCTAAATCAGCACCATCCAACAGAAATATAATGTGAGCCACACGTGTAATTGAGATTTTGTAGTGGCCACATTAAAAAAGAAAAGAGAAAGACATGTAATGGATTTTAACAATATATTTTACCTGCTGCAGCGTATACAGAATACTAAATTTTGACATGTAATCAATACAAAAATTATTGCTGAAAGATCCCACAGTAAATCTTCAAAATCATATCTACATTTTATATTCATCAAACATTTCAATTTGGATGCTAAATTTTCTTTGGAGATACCAGATTTATGTTTTGATTTCATAAAATTTATAGTTGAGTAAATAGATTCTTGCACTCAAGTTGTTCCAAACACACGTAAAGATTTTGCGGTAGCTAAAGTTTCAAAATTTAAATCTAGGGCTGGGGAGAGAGCTTGGTGGTCTAAGCGCCTGCCTGACAAGCACAAGAAACCGAGTTTGATCCCCAGTACCACACACTGTGCTGGCCCTGAGACCAGAAGTTGTGGCACACGCCTGTAATCCCAGAGCTAAAGAGGCTGAGGTAGGAGGATCACTATGAGTCTGAGCTGCATAGCAAGACCTTCAACTAAGTAAATAAACATTAAAAAATTAAATCTAAATCAAGTAAAAGCTAAATAAATTAAATTCAGTTCATTCACAGTAGCTATGTTTCTAATACTTAATAATGACACGTGGTTAGTGGCTACCATGTTGGATTGTGCAAATCTAAACAAACAAAACCCAAAACAAAGTCCTCAGTGCAGTCTTTAGGGCTAAGAACTGTACTTGCCATCTGGTAGTGTGGCAGAGTACACTTAGTGAATGAGTACAACTGCAGTGTCACTAGGACACTTGAGGGGCAGCTAGGGTAGCATTAGAGTGTCCATTAGGAAGACTTCCATACCTAGTTACAAATACAGAAGTTTGCATGAAAAATGAGTCGCTTTTAAGGAGAGCCAGAGAGGGCGAGGGGTTTCCAGGAAGATGCAGCAGGAATAAAGGCTTGGAGGGAGGAACCAGCTTGGGCAACATGGAGGGAACCTAAGAATGGGACTATTTGCTGAGCCTCGAGATTGAGAATAAGAGTGATTCCAGCTGAGTATGGAAATGTCTGCATGGAGCTGTGTTAAGGGTTCCCGATTTCTTCCAAGAGCAGACAGAAGACTTGGGAGGGTTTCAAGCTTAGTGTATGCTACTAACTAGGCTTCAGTCTTTTAAAGACTGTGCTAGCTCCAGTATGCAGAATGGACTGTGTGGGGCAAGAGTGGACATGGGAGGCCTGCATAGGGACTGGAATCAGGGAAGAGGGTGGGGGTAGGGCTGCACAAGGTGACAGTAACAGAGAGGGTCAGCCAGGGACAGATTTGAGGAAAGATTCAGGAAGCAGAACAAGGTGTTCTGAAGGATGGGAAGCTGAGGCAGGAGTAGAGATGCAGGAGGATCAGCTGGAGACAGATGCAGGTGGCCAGGGCCCCACTTGCCAGGTCCCATTCCACAGGTGCTGAACGGGGAGGTGTACCCACCATCGGTGGAAGAGGCGCCTGTGTTGATGCACTATCCGCGGGGTGTCCCGCTCCAAAGCCGGATGGCTATGGGCCAAGAGGTGTTTGGGCTGCTGCCGGGGCTCATGCTGTATGCCACACTCTGGCTGCGTGAGCACAACCGTGTGTGTGACCTGCTGAAGGCGGAGCACCCCACCTGGGAGGACGAGCAGCTCTTCCAGACCACCCGCCTCATCCTCATAGGTGAGAGCTCTGAACCAGCCCTGTTCATCTGCTTTCCAGCCATGAGATCTTGAGTCAGCACCTCCATTTCTGTGAGCCTCAGCTTCCAAATCTGTGCTTTGGGCAGAAAGGTGTTTGTAAGGATTCACTGAGATAACGAGTGGTGAGGCACTTGGCACACAGTAAAAGGTTAGGAGAGGAGGGACTGTGATGGTTGATATTAGCGGGTGACTCGCAGCACATCTGATCAGCCATCCCAAGTCTCAGTGTCCCCTGCTACTGCATCCAGATGCACGCTTGATGTCCCCACTGCAAAGAGTGAAAACCCAGCTTTCTCAGTGTCCAGGAGTCTTCTCGTTTTCTGCCTTGTGTGTACTTGCCTATCTGCAGTTTGGTAGCTTCTAGGTGACTCAGGGTTAGGATATTTTTGTGTCCCCTACGGGGGCGTCTGTAACCTAAAATGTCAGACGGTTTCCTGCCTAGAAGCTTGGACCCTAACATCCCCATCCAGACCATGTTCTGTCTGAGTCACTAACAACTTCCTCTCCCCACCTCTGGGCACCACTGGGCATGGCTGGTCCCAATTATAGTGCTTAATTCACTGGAGCTTGGAAGAGGAAGGCATCAGGGATGGACTATCTTGAAGAGGGCGGAGGAGCTGGTTCTGAAGTCCCAAATATTGCAGACATCTTGACCAGAGAGGAAAAATATATAATTGGAGGCTGCCCAGCACACTGGCTGGTGACCAAGGGCAAGACTCCTTGGGCGTGGCCTATCCAGTGCTTCCTAAAACCTTTCTTTTCCTTCCTGGTACTGGATATTGAGCCTGGGAACTTGTATTAAGCGACTTCCCTAGGCTTTTAAAATTTTTAGTTTGAGACGAGGTATTGCTAAGTTGCTAAATTGCCCAGGCTGAACTTGGTATTTCTGTCTTAGCTTTCCAGAGTTCTGGGGTTATGGGTGCAGCACCAGGCCTGGCTCATGTTGAGAGTAAGATAAGAGGACCTCTGTGAAAATTAAGGTTCGGAGAGGTGAAGTGAATTCTCCAAGGCCGTACAGAAGTGGGAAACTTGAATTAGGTCTGGGTGCTACCGGAGTTTGTGCTTCTACATCTCGTTAGGAGGGGTCCTCCTTCTGGGTGGAGAGGAGGGGTGGCCAGCCTTGCTCTAGTCTCTGGTGACATGCGAGTCTAAGGGGAAGAGATCCAGCCCCTACACCTGCACTCAGCACTGTTCCTTCCGCCCAGTGTGTCAACACTGCTTATTATGCCCAGCCCTAGGGCCAACAGTTTAGATGAATGCATTGTGTACTTTATACCCCCAAATCAGTATTACTACCCTGACATGAATACAGGGCACAGCTTGTAGATAAGAAAAGGGAGGCCAATCTCAGAGAGATTGAGAAACCTGGTGTACGGTGAGCTGGCTACAAATGGTGAAGCTCAGATTTGGACCTGGGTCAGCTGATTCCAAATTCTGTGGCTCCGGGGCAATGCACTAAAGGTCAGTGCGCCAGAATGCAAGTTTCTTAATACCTTGTTGACCTATATTCATTTCGTTAGGGAATGTTCGGTTTGCTTCTTCCCCAGCTATTTGCATTTTGGCTGGTTTTTGAGGGAGCAGGAGAGAATTCTATCCATCAGAATTCTGGTATATGGACACATAAAAATGTGTCTTATTCAAATATGTCCTTATGGTCCCTCTTTGGCTGCTAGAGCAGCTATGAGCATTCTCTTTGAAACCCCCTGTGTCACTGAGGGCACCAGCAAGATGACAGCCCTTGCTAAGTCAGCCCCCCACTTTTCTGTCCTTTAAGGTATCTCCCAGTTGTTTTAGTGGGCAGCAGAAGGTGGTCACCTGGGGTCCTAGAACCAATGCTCGTACACCTCCTTTGCATGTCCTGCTTAGCTGGGTCTAAAGCTTCCTTTGGAACATGTGGAGTGGCAGTACTCTTGTCTTGGGACCCCAGATGAATCTGAACCAGAAAGTTCCATTTTCACATCCTGTTCCACAGAAGCAAAGTAGAGGTGGTGAGGTACAGTTAACAATCACCACATTAAGGGGACAAAAAGGAAGCACTTCTCACATGCCAGCCTGCTTTCTAGGTTGGGGGTCTCAGTGGATCGCTGTGCTCTGCTGATCCTTCTCCCATCCTCCCCTGGGCAGGAGAGACCATCAAGATCGTCATAGAAGAATACGTGCAGCAGCTGAGCGGCTACTTCCTGCAGCTCAAGTTTGACCCTGAACTGCTGTTCCGAGCCCAGTTCCAGTACCGTAACCGTATTGCCATGGAGTTTAACCACCTCTATCACTGGCACCCTCTCATGCCTGAGTCCTTCAAGGTGGGCTCCCAGGAGTACAGCTATGAGCAGTTCCTGTTCAACACCTCCATGCTAGTGGACTATGGAGTGGAGGCCTTGGTGGACGCCTTCTCTCGCCAGAGTGCTGGCCGGGTAAGTCTCAGGGCAGCGAGGGTGAGAGTGTGTGGGCCCTGGGATCCAGCAGAATGGGACGGAAACCCTGTCTCCACTTCCAGAAAGTGGGGGAAGTGTCCCTTCTATTGGGCATTTGTCCCTGTTCCTTGTGAATTCTATTGTTCAGTTGTTTGTTGGAAAATTCAAGGCACTTCTTCAGGTGGTGAGGATATAGTGATGCACAGCACTGATGTGGTTCTGGGGCCCTTGTCTTTTCGGTGCTTATATCTAGAGGGGGAGAAGGATTATGTGAGCATGTTAAGAACCACAATACAGAAAGGCCACTGTGCTCTTGAGCTCAGAGGGGCTTCTAGCCCAGAGATCGGGGTTGTAAGAAAGGAAATGACTGAAATTGAGCAGAAATTGGAAGGACAGACACAGAGATTTCCTGGGGCAGATGATGGCTATAGAAAGGACGGCAGAAGGCATGGTAATAGGTAGATAGTCATTGCTTATTAAATCAGAGTCTCTGTAAATGGGCTGGATTCTGTCTTCTGCAAAATTGACATGTTGAAATCTCAGTCCCCAGAACCTCAGAATGTGACTGTATTTGGAAAAAAATGTTTTAAAAAGGCAATGAAAGTTAAATGTGGAAATTTGAGCCCTAATTCATTATGACTGTCGTCCTCATAAGAAGGAGATTAAAACACAGCCTTGCGCAGAGGGAAGACTGTGTCAACACACGGACGTAACATGCCAGAGAGAGGCCTCAGGAGAAACCAACCTGGTGGGCGCTGCCAAGACAGAAGACATAATTTTTGTCATTTAAACCACTCAGATTGTAGGACTTCGTCATGGCAGCCCTGGCAAACTAGAATGTCCTCCTTTCCTGGAAGTCTAGCCACCTCCCTCTTAAATTTCTCCTGTCCACATCTGGAAGTTCCTGTCTTCTTTGCCTTAGCTCTCTGAGTCTCTTTCTTATCTTCATCCCTCTGCTTCTCTCCAGTCGTCGTCCCTAAGCCCCGTCATGAAGCTGTGATGCCGCACAGCATTAGGGCTCCATCTGGTAATTTGACTAGTGTTAGCACTTGCAGCCACCCACACAGGCCAGCTGGTTTGTGGCCTCTGTTTCCTGGGAGGCACAGCCATGAGCAGAGACAGTGGCCTTTGTGCAGGGCTCGATGGCTTCCAGAGCATTTTTGAGACATGACTGTGAAGAATAGGGAAAGGGTCCAGCTTTGTACATGGCACAAGGCAGGAGCAGAAGCATGTTGACCCTCACAATATTCAAACAAGCCCAAGAAATGATAAGACAGGACTTCCCCTGATAGTCATCATGCATGGCGGACACCCTGTGACTAACAGTGTGATAAGTGCTTTGTATGCTTTATCTCCTTCGTTTTCCCAGAACCATGTAAGGGGAATGCTCTTAACTTTGCCTATGTTTATTCAAACATAGCTCAACTCACTTTCCAGTGCCCCTGCAGTTGTTTTCTCCAGTTACCATAACAAAGTGCCAAACCCACTGGCTTAAACAACTGACATGTCAGCTGAGAGTGGTGGCACTTATGTGTATCCCCAACATTCTGGGAGACTGAGGCAGGGGGACCACATATTCCCCCTGAGCCCAGGCAACTTAGTGATTTAATAAGATATAATCTCAAAAACAAAAAACCATAAAACCTACACATGTTAAAAATGGCTGGGGACATAGCTCAATTTGAAGGTCCTGGGTTCAACCTCCAACACTGAAAACTCAAAACTAAACCAAACCAAAACAACAACAACAAAAATAGGAATTTATTCTTTCACGGTTCTGGAGGCTGGAGGTCCAAGTCAAAGTATCCGCAGGGCCATGTTCTAGGGAAAGATCTATTCAGTGCCTTTCTCTTGGTTCCCATGGTTGCTGGCAGCCTCTGTGTTCCTTGGCTTGTAGACCCACCATGCCAATCTCTGCCTCCGTCATCACACGGTGTCCTTCCTGTTCTCCATTCTCATCTTAGAAGGACACTGTTACTGGATCAGGGCCCACTCTCATTGAGTATGACCTCACATTAACTCAGTTCCACCTATGAAGATTCAGCAGTAGCCTCCCCTTGTATCCAGGGGCATATATATGTTCCAAGACCTACAAGTGGATATCTGAAACTGCAGATAGTACTGAGCCCTACATAATTTTTTTTCTTTATGTACACATGCCTATAATGAGTCTAATGTATGAACTGGTTACAACAAGAGAGCTGTAGTTGCAACTAATTGAATATTCATGACAATGTTCTGTAATATTCTGTTACAAAGCATGTTGATGTAGCCCCACCCTTCACCCCATCTGTCTCCCCTCTCAGAACATCTTATTTTACTGTGTGCATCTGTGGGATGATGTGAGATCATCCAGTGCCTGTGTATAGGGATGAAGGTAAATGCAAGGCACAGGCATGTGATGCAGGGTGAGTTTACTACACTAGGGTTACGTGGAAATGTGATATCATGACAGTCAATTTGATAGCCAAGTCAGATGCCACCTTAAGTGGCTAATGAGCAGGTAGCTTGTATTGTATAGATGCACTGGTCAAAGAGATGATTCATACCCTTGGAAGGGAAGAGTACAACTGCACTGGATTTTATTATGATACTGAGAACATCATGCAGTTTAGAACTGATGAATTGTGTATTTCTGGAATTTTCCATTCAATGCTTTTGGATGACAGTTGACTTTGGGTAGCAGAAACTGTGCAGGCAAAATCGCCAATAAGGAGGGGACTGCTTTGTTTCCAGGTAAGGTCCTATTCACAGGAGCTGCAGTAAGACGTCAGGGCACTATGACTTATAAATGCCTGACCTCAGAGTGGTATCAGACTCTGCTTGCTTTTTAAAAAATTTATTCATTTTATTGAGAAAGAAATAGCAATGAGACAGTTTCAAAACAGATTAGTAGGGCAGTTACAAGAATTAATACACTGCATGTTGTTGTCTTTATAGCAGTTATTCAGAGTACAAGATACAGACATGATATCTTGTCTAAACACTTTTGGTATAAATCTTTCTTCACATTGAATGAAGAGAAAGTAGCTGTACATCTATCCTGTTTTGGAGATATATATATATATATATATTTTTTTTTTTTCCCCCCCCCACTACAAAATGGTCCTTCATTTTTATCCCCCTTTTTTGTTTAGTTTTGTCAGAGATGGGTGTTCCATTGCCATTCAAACACTGTAGGTGCATGAATTCAGCAAAATAATTCAATGTAGTCCAGTAGCCCATAATAGTAGTGGGTTATCCATGTGACTGGCAATGTCAGAAGTTGTTGACTTGAGCCTTTTACACTCAGCATGGATTTACTTTTTATACCTTGTGCTTATACTTTTCTACTGGATGGTTAAGACCAAGATAATCTGCTTGCTTTTGTCAACCTTCCAAGTTGTATGACTTTATTTAACTATGCTTTTATTTATCCCTGCCCATTATACTTCCACTGAACTGTTAGCACTGCCTGAGGAACAGAACTTTCTTTATCCCATCACTCCTTCACTGGTATGAATCAGAAGTGTTTTCTGGGGCCGCCTTTGTCTTATCAAGTTACCTGTGCTTTGAGCCTTATTTTTTTCTCCCTTCCAAGGAATTATACCACTTGTTCGTGTGACTCAAAGAGCTGGCAAGCTCTGTAACTTTTGAGTCACTGTGTTGATCCTCCTGGCACAATACATACTTCAGTACTGCAGAAGCTGAGGCTCCCTGGGGTCTGAGGGAGAGCATGATTTGGCAAGGCCTAGAACCAGCCGGCCTGGTCATGGCATTTTCTCTCTCCAGGCAGGGAAGACTCATGACTTGATGTTCTTTACAGCACCACGCAAATTTCCACCATAATCTATCCTGGCTCTCATATCAACAGTCACACTTATCTCTTGGCAGATCGGTGGCGGTAGGAACATAGACCACCATGTTCTGCACGTGGCAGTGGAGGTCATCAAGGAGGGTCGAGAGATGCGGCTGCAGCCGTTCAATGAGTACCGCAAGAGATTTGGCATGAAGCCCTACACCTCTTTCCTCGAACTCACTGGTGAGCAGCCGATTCCTGGACAGACTTCCTGTCCTTAAGGGCCATGCAGGACAGTGAAAGGGACATGAAGCAAACACAATAGGACAATACAGTGGCCAGCTCTGACTGTGTGAATTGTAAGAAGTAGTGAGTATGGCAGATATCCCTGCTTAGGGAGGAAAAGAACTTTTCAGCTAGGCTTGAGGGATAGATAGGAATGTTCCTGGAGAAGAGAAGGAACAAAAGAAGCAGACAGGCATAGAGGTTAGCAAGTAGGTGTCCACTTAGAAGAACAGTCATAGGTGTGGCTAGGGCCAGAGGCTTATGTTTGGCCGTGGGGCTGGTTAGGGAGGGTTCACGCCAAACTGTGAAGTCTTGGGTTCTATGTAAAGATTTTGAGCATTAGCCTGTGTAGTAGTTTTTAAATAACCATTTATGGACCAGCTGCATAATTTGAAAGCTAATTAAAATATCAAATCTAGCTGGGCGTATACTGAATGGGTAGCATGTAGTTATCATATACAAGGCCCTAGTTTCAATCCCCTCAATCAAAATGTTGGTCAGCCAAGTTGGGAACACTTGTCACAGATAATCAGGACCTGCTGGAACAACTGTGACATGACACCTCTACAGTGTTCTAGGGAGGGTGGTTTTGAAGAAAGAGGTAGGAAACCTCCATGTCTGTCTCCCCTTGGTCACTGTCTGCATACCTGTGGGTCTCCTAGACTGGAGCAGAGCCTGGGATCAGTGACAAGTTCCCTGTGATCCTAGACCAGTAATTGTTGTCACTAATTAATCTCCAAGACAATGGTCCAGCAGGGCAGAAAGAAGATTGTTACTGATGTCTGTCTGGACATGGACACATTATATTATATCCTTGTTGTTAGTATAACAAAAGGGTTTGGACCAAGGGAAGACCCTGAAATTCAGGTATGAAGGAAGCAAGCTAGGCAACATTCTTCCTGTTGTAATGACCAAAGATTTAGTGCCCACAGAGATGGGGTGAGTTGTTTGGTAGCAGTTTTAGGCCCCTGTAATCTTTCTTCCCTAGACTTAGACTAGGTCAAGGGCCAGTTGGTGCTTTCTCCCTATTTCCCTAGATCTGTTATTTCTAGAAATAAAGGCAGGTATAGAAGATTCCCTCTTCAGATTTACCTTATGGCTCTGACTGTAGCTTCTTCCTCTTGCAGGGGACAAGGAGATGGCAGCTGAGTTAGACGAGTTATATGGAGACATCGATGCCTTAGAGTTCTACCCGGGATTGCTTCTTGAAAAATGCCTACCGAACTCCATCTTTGGAGAGAGTATGATCGAGATGGGGGCCCCCTTTTCCCTCAAGGGGCTCCTGGGGAATCCCATCTGTTCTCCAGAGTACTGGAAGCCAAGCACATTTGGTGGTGAGGTGGGCTTCAACATTGTCAACACAGCCACACTGCAGAAGCTGGTCTGTCTCAACTCCAAGACCTGTCCCTATGTTTCTTTCCGTGTGCCCAGCTCCAGTCAAGATGAGGGGTCTGCAGTAGAGCGGCCATCCACAGAACTCTGAGGGGGCAGTGAAGTGGCATTCTGGAGGGGATTCTGGCTTTCTGCTGTGGATTCCAGAATGCTGAGGCCAAGACTGATGGTCATAAGTGTTGGTTTTCTAGTTTGATACTGTGTTTGGGTTGACATTTAGAACTTTGGGGCTCACCTCTTATTTGAAAAATTAAGGGGTTTTTTTAGTCACTCTAAAATGCTGAGCTGCTTGTTAACCCTTCAGAATGGTAGGAGTGGTTGGTCCTCCCTGGGCTTTCTGGAACAGTGGTTCCTGGTTAACAAACTATAATATCAAAGTTCTGGTGGATTTGAAGTGTAGGCATTCAAAAATATACGGTTTCTGGTAAGATCTCATTTTTATTTTATATTCTAGAGTGGGTGGCTCTCCAGAATGTTGACTGATTGGTGCTTTGGAATGTTGTTTATGGTTGATGGTCCAAATCAAGGATGGTAGGTCGGTTTAGTTCTGAGCTATGTCTAATTCCCTTTCTTGTCCAAGGAGATACCTAGGGGACAGAAGATCCTAATTACCAACAAGAAAACATTGTATGAATCTGTTCATGCCCTGGGGGGTAAGGAAGTAGAGTGTTCTTGAAACCCTTGGTCTAAGATTACAGAGAGAACCATCAGGGTTTTTCCATGCCATTGGTTGGAAGCCGCCAGAGTTCTGTCCCCATGCAGGGCTTGACTTGTGGCAGCTGTCCCAAAGCTAATAAAAATACCTTTTCAAAATTGCTTGTTATGTATGTCTTTTGGTTCCATCCTTGAATGCAGAGACAACCCTGAAGTGGCCTTTCTCCTAGCAACAAGACAGGCATACTAGAATCTCAGAGTGACACTTCCTACGGGGATCTCTAGGGCCCATCCTCATGCAGATGCTTCACCGCTGATGCTCCATTTCTTCTTCTCAGGCACTGCCCTTTCCTGGCTGCTTTTTAAAAATAACCAATTCCACAGCTCTGGTGATGTAGCATTCAGTTCTCACCAGCCAGTTAGAAGAACACCCTTCCTTACAGAGACAAGGGGCTCCTGTGTAGGAGAGTACCCTGGTGCATCGACTCTACACGCTTAGTTCTCATTTAATTTTCACACCGGCAGTATGAAGTGGTGCAACCCCCATTTTAAAACTGAGGAAACTGGGCCTCAGGGTGTCAGGTGACATGTCTGCCTCAAAGGTGCCAGAGCCAGGCATGGGACCCAGCTCTGCTGAGTCCAGAGAACACATTTCTCTCTCTCTGTCTCTCTCTCTCTGTCTCTCTGTGTCTCTCTGTCTCTCTGTCTCTGTCTCTCTCTCTCTCTGTCTCTGTCTCTCTCTGTCTCTCTGTCTCTGTCTCTGTCTCTGCTCTGTCTCTGTCTCTCTGTCTCTGTCTCTGTCTCTCTGTCTCTCGCTCTGTCTCTCTCTTTCTCTCTCTCTGTCTCTCTCTGTCTCTCTCTCTCTGTCTCTCTCTCTGTCTCTCTGTCTCTGTCTCTCTCTCTCTCTCTCTCTCTCTCTCTCTCTCTCTCTCTCTCCATTTTTCTTATCTCTTTCTGACTTAGACTTCATGCTGGGCCTGCTCTTGCCTGTCTGGCTCAGAATCAAGGACACAGGGGGTGTAGCCTCCGCCTTGCATACCAGCTGCTCATTCAGTCACAGGAGTTCACTTTCCTAGGTGCTTACTCTGTGCCACTTACTGTGACGGGACTGGGAATACAGCTCTGAGTGATCAGTATAGATAAGGCTCCTACTAGGATGGAACTCACGTTCCAGTGGGGTGAGAAGAGACAGTAAATGAGAAAACGATGAAACAGGATACCTGCTGGTGAGCGTAACTTTCCTTTTCATTCAGTTTGCTTGGTCGGTCCCAACTTCACTTCTGACCAGGGTGGGAGCTGTGGGGTTTGGACATTGGCCTCCTTTTGTTCCACTCCCTTCCTGAGATTCTTTCCTCAGTCATGCAGAGTCTTGTATTCAGCAAAGAGAGAAGTGGGGTTAGAGGGGTAAAGTATGAGCTTGGGAAAAGGACTTTGTGCTTAACATTTTGGACATAGTGTTCCTTAGGAAAAACTATGGGCAAGAAACAATAGGAAAAAATTGGGACTTAGGCTGATGCTCTTTGGAGCTGGGGCTACTGCTACAAATGAGAAAAATCTTTGTTTCCCCCTAGTTCATTAAGGGATGCTTCTACCATTCTTTGCTGGCCTTGTGGATATAGAAAATGGAATCCTTCTCTGCTGCCCGAGTTGCTTTGATGTGGAAGGTCCTTTGGGTCCTGGAAGTGGCCATATAGTGGCTGTGTCTTGTCTTTGCCAAGTATCGATTTTCCTTCTTCTCATATTCCTTACTTTGCCAATTTCCTGACCTCTCTCATTAATTCAGTTTCAATGATTCACCAAGAGTATATTCTGGACTAGAGATAGGGCCATTCCTGGGCAATTCTGTATCTTGTTCTTGATAATTGGTCACTGAGTGGCAGTCCATGGAGTCTGAGATTCCTGACTCTCTTTCATCTCTGCAGCTGGGCTCTGCAAAGGCTCTGCATGAGTTCCTGCTTCCCTGATGCCCAGGGAAGTCTGGATTATTGACCTTTTCAGGACTTTGGCTTTTCTTTCCATCCTGTGTGTTGTTGAATTACTCATGCCAGAGTTGGTGTTAATATTAATCACTGCAAGCCCAAGGAAACAGAAAGCTTCCCCAAGAAATGTAATCAAGGGAGGTGCAATAAAACTACTGTTTTGGAAAAAGCAGTCTTGGTGGGTATACAGCAGAGGCTGTGGCTGTATTCCAACCCAGGGATACTGATGGCAGAGGCCAAAGAAGGGCTGTGATGATGGTGGATTGGCTGGCTTCCCACAGGACTCCTCTCTTAAATGCAAAGTCCTTGATTGGGTGGACTTTGCTTGGCATGGACAACGTTCATCTGCATGGAAGCTTTGCAGATGGAAATGGGTCAGATTCACCAAGGAGGCGTCATCAGAGTGAAGGGCCTTAATGTGTTTATACTTTGTTTTCTTTAATACTTTTTTTTTTTCATGTTTTTAGTACAAGGTCTACAGGGTCTACAGGGTCTCACTACATAGATTGGACTCCTAGTGATCCTCCTGTTTTCAGCCTCCCAAGTGCTGAGATTATAGGTGCACACTAAAATGCCCAGTCTGCTTATACTTTGACCAGACATTCTTGGAGTTTTTCTTTGGCAGATATGGTGGTTAGTTTTATGTGTCAATTTAGCTAAGTGAGAGGGCCCACTTATTCAATAAAGCACTAATTTAAGTGTAGCCATGAAGGTATTTTGTAGATGTGGTTAATATCTACCATTGGCTGACTTTAAAGTACCCTGGGAAAATTAGATAGTCTTATCTAAACCATTGAAAGACCTTCAGAATAAAAACAGATTTTCTGGAAAATGAGAAATTCTTCACAATTGCAGTATCAGCTTCTCCTGAGTGTCTAGCCTGCCACCCTGACCTATGGGTTTCAGGTTTGCCAACCCTAGAAATGATGTGAGCCAATTCCTGTTGTCTGTCTATCTATCTATCTATCTATCTATCTATCTATCTATCTATCTATCTATCATCTATCTATGCTCATGTATGTGTGTTCCTCCCCTTGTAGTATATATAATGTATACACACTTATACTCTATTGCTTGTTTCTTTGGAGAACTCTGACCAATATTGAATTTTCTTTAGCCCTTTTAAGTAGGAAGAGGTTTATTACAGGACATTTTGTAACTCATGGAGCCATTGAGAGGCCCAGAAAATTAGGCTTGAAGGCTATGTGCCCAGGAGTAGTGGCCACTTGTCACATGAAGATACCTCTACTACAGCTATTCATTGCAGGTATCTCAAATTGTACCTTTGCTGCCAAAACCCTGCTCCGGCTGCTCTCCCCACCAACTCACAGCTGCCATAGCTAATTGCCAGAAAATGAATTCTACATGGTATCTACTTCTCATTTTCTTGTACTTAAATTTATGTTTATTTTGTATTTGATTGGTGGAGTTTGGCTCATGTGTCAGTCCTCCCACTCCAAGAGAGGGTGTAAAGTGAATTTCCTGGCATGAGTCTTAGAAAGGGGGAGCTCGTAATGTGGAAATTCCCTGTACATAGCAAAGGTGTCCAAAGGGGCTTGGAAACATGAGAACTCTACCTCAGTAGGTCTGAGTTTTCTGGTTCTGCTTTGCTTCTGGGAGTCCTGTCTTTAGGATACTACAAAGACCTTCAAAGTGGCACCACTTTTGGCCTGGTAGCAGCTCAATATAGTTGCAGAAATAGAGCATAGGAAATGAAATTATACTAATATAAACAGCAGAGAAGCAGAGTCCGTAAAGTATACATAGTCCATCAGTTAATGATGTTTGAGGAAATGAGTATCAAAGATGTTACAATGCTCTACAACTTACCTTTTTGCTTGACCATGTGTTTCCTATAAAAATAGTTAAAACAGCTATGTGTAAATGATAGTAAGAAAACCCAAAATTTAAAAGATATTTTTATTAAGCAGTTTTCAAAGAACTACAGCAAAGCACTTTCCTCACTAGCTTCTCATTGCCAGTTATTCTTGTTTCATTGTGCAATGGGGCATAATGTTGGGTTACCACAACCCATCCCATAGTTTTCTACTTCAAATTTAGCATAAATAGTATCTGGCTGTGCATCTCAGTATCTGGGCCTGAGGGCTGTAGGAAGCAATCTTCATGTTTATCCTCTTGGTGTGATTCATGCATGGCAAGGTGCATACACATGTGCAAAACCATCAAACTGGGATTTGTACCCACACAGTGCTCTATCTAACAGGTCTTGCATGTGTTTACCTGGGCATCATAGGGTGTAAAATCTACCTACACCAATCATTATTTGAGGATATTCTATAACTCATAGAGCCATTGAAAGGGCCAAAGAATTAAGCGTGAAAGTTATGTGCCTAGGAGTAGTGTCCTGTGAAGAAACAATGTGCTACTGTAAACATGTTTTACTGTAGCAAGTAGGTCTAATGGACTGTTAGTGTGACTCACAGAAGCTGCTTCTTGGGAAAGCAGAAACTTATCTATGTATTTAACCTCTTGGCATGAAAACAGCAAGGTGTGTACCTGAGATCCAAAGCAGCAAAAGGTGAATTTTATCCATGAAATGCTCATTGTTAAATTTCTGTGCATTTAAGATTTTTTTTAAAAAAAGTTTTCTTTTGACTTTTCTGGTAGAAGTAATCCAATTCCGTACAGTGGCACATGAAAAACCAGATTTTCAAGTTTAGGAGGTTGAAAGTGAATCATCAGATCCTTCATGTGTGGATGAGGAAGATAATGACTTTGACATTGGCCATGTGGGTCAAAGTTCCTGTAATAGTGAAATGGAGCAAGAATCAACTGATGCAGATACAGGGAATACAACTCTCCTTGATTCAGATGATGAAGAAAACAACCATTTGAATGTGTATTTGACTAGTAGAAATACTGCAAAATGGTCATGCAACCAAATGGAATGATCCAATGTCAGAAGTAGGTCTAAAAATATACTGAGGTGAAGCCTATTAGATGGAACGCCAGCACTGCCATTCAGTGTCAGAAGTTGTTTGTAACAGATGAGATGCTACAAGATGTTGTAAAATATTCAAATGCTAGAACACAAGTAAAACACTCTGTATGCACCAATAGCCATACTCAAAAAAGTATTTATTATGACACCTCACTAGCTGAACTTAAAGCATTCAGAGGTCTGCTGTACTTAGCAGGGCTTTCTCATGGCAATTGCAG